TGTGGCATGTGGGACCTAGTTCCCTGACCAGGGATCGAACCCGGGGCCCCTGCATTGGGAGCACGGGGTCTTAGCCACTGGACCACCAGGGAAGTCCCTCACATTGTGTTTTGATTTCAGAATTCTCTGAAGCCTTTTGTCTTATTCAGTCTTATTTCTAAGACCTCTGTGAAAAGAGACAACAAAATAAGCTTCAGTTTGAAATACTGGAAATTACACTCTGGTTTTTACAATGTTGGTGAAATTAAGAACTAGCTTGTGATGGCTAAAAAGACCAGTGAGTTCATTTTATGTTCAGTTAATCTGAAATGATTAACAATGGGCACAACATAGAAATCATCAGCTGTGCTTTAGTCACTGCCCATGATTATCCATGGATGTTTCACAGTATTGACAAATATAAAAGTTTACATTTTACATGCAAAATAACAATGTATTAATGGGAGAGTCCTTATTTCTTTGAATGGTGGAAAAACACCACACAAGAAATCTCCACCTGTTGAAACAGCAACGTCAAGTTTGGTCTTACCTGTGAGTTTTGTCTCAACCTGATTAATTGGTAAAGAGGGTCATTGTTCAGCATCTAGTTTATAAACATCATAGTGAACACTGTATTTTTCATCTTTTCTCAGTAGCAAAGAAAAATTAAGTCCTAGTGCTTTGTGCTAAGACTTAATTCCCCTTAATCAAAGTGACTTCTCTTAAAAGGAAACTTACGCCTCTTATATTTTCTTTCTCAGAGAGAGGACTTGTGTTATTATATTTTTACTGTAATTAAGAAAAATTTCAACCAAGACATCTTCTGATTGAAATAGGGGTAGAAGTAACCTTTCTGTTTCTCCTAGTTACTGGTACAACGTCCACCCCCACAAAAGTGGTCCCTGGAATGTAACTTAGGGTCCCACAGAATGCAGTCTCGAAGTCTCCAATCTCTCTACGTAGCCTGTAGTCCTCAGATCAAATAACACAACTCCAGAAGCATCCCCATCCCCACCCCAACCTCCCTCCACAGACATCCACGCAAACCGGAAATCAAATGATAGCATCTTTGGCAAGCCCCCTAACTTTCCAACGCCTCGGTTTTCCTGCCTGCAAAATATAAAATCAGTTTCATATCGGAAAATGATTAACAATAGCAAGCGTTTGTTGGATCTTTGCTTTATGGCAGGCCCTTCACGTAGGTTCTCTCTTTTAATCATAACCACCACCCTATGCAGAAAGTAACTGCTGTTATTTCCATTTCACAGATGGGGAAACTAAGGCACAAGGAGTTAAGTTCCTTGCCTGGAATGGCACAGGAAATGGCAAACCAGTCTTTAAACCCATGTGGCTTGAATCCAGCCCCGAGGCCCTTAAGTGCTCTGCCTTAATTCCTGAGACGGAGTGGTGAAGGTGAAGGAGACCAGGTGGGCAGGCAAGGTGACCAGCACAGGCTTGGCACAGAGTGGGTGAGGGTTCCTGTCCTTCGAGGGTGACTTGTCTTGGTTAGTTGGGTGCATATCTGTCTCATCTTTTCCTTTATACACTTCTTGGGGACAAGGACTGTCTTTTCATCTTTTTAAAAATGTTTTCCTGTGCAACATAGGAATACAATGGTTGGAGGACACCTATTTTCCTCCATTCTGTGTGTCACAAACCTATGCAATTTTTATTTCAGTTAAATTCTCCTTTTCCCTCCAGCTGCTGCAGCTCACAGGGTGTAATCAGCTCTACATTGAGCCCTTAACCTTATTCGTCACATGATAAAAATGCCGGACACACTGGTTGAATGAAGTGTGTGAATTGTATGCTGCTAAGTATTACCCTCCTTTTGTATGTTTTGTCGGGTCATCCTTCCTGGATTGTGTGTGCTGTGAGAGTAGGGACCATTTCTTTCCTTTTTCTTGCCCATGACATTGAAATCCAGGGAGAACCAGGGGACCAAGGTGGGCAAGTTCGTGGAAACCCAACCTTGGTCCCACCATTGCTAGAGGTTTTTCTGATGTGCCTGAGTCTCCCCTGGTACCAGACCGTTGCCTCTCATCCTGCCACCAGGTGAATTAGTGGTACATCTGGGAGTGAAAACCAGGAGGACCAAGGCGTGCCAGGCCCACTTATATCAG